AGTACAATTTTTCCGGCGGACGAGCAGGCGAGTTGGGGGTGCAGAAGAGGAGGCGGAGGGCGGTCGGCGGATGACGGCCGGAGGGGTCGGTCGTGGAGGGTTGGCGGCGGCGGTGTGGTGGCGGCATCGACGGAGGCGGAGGCGGCGGCGGCGACTGTGTGTATCGATTACCGAGCTCGACAAGGTGCTTGTCACGTCTGATACAAGTGAAATAGCTGTTTATGGATGACGGGCGCGGCCCGGATGTCAACTCAACGCCGGTTCCGGATCAGACCCCGGACTACCAAAAACACTTACCGCCGCCGCCGCCCCCGCAACTCTCCGTCCACCACCTCCTCCTCCTTCCTTCCATCCACAACCGCCACCCTCTCTCTCACACTCGTCCTCCGATGCCGACCCTAAACTGCCCCACCACCGACACTAAACTCACGTAATTATCCCCAACTGAAATCTTCATGATACGCGCGCGCCCTACCCCGACCCTTCTGTTGCTCCTCAAGTCGATGCAACACCGACCAAATTGATTACTAAATTAACTCTCACGAAATATTAATTTCCAAGTTTCCCGTCATTAACAGTTTCCCATCATCAAAAAAGTTTCTCCAACTAACACACGTCACGATACTCATACTATTTATTTATTTCATCCATATTACCATAGAAACAAAAATAATATTTTTGTTAAATATATCATATGCATCTTGATAATTAACAATTGTGATGTTTGAATTGCCAATTGCATTTTAGAATTCGATGAACTTTCTATACTTATCCATATGATTTAAATGTATTCTTAGGTTTTGTCCATCCCATTTATTTCTCTTTAGAATTTGTATAATTTTCACTTCTTCGATTACAAAATGGTTTAACCATGAATGACTTTCATGATGACCTTCTTTTATAGATTGATTTAAGTTCTATCAAATCCAATTAATTTAATTCCAATAAAAATATGAACAAGAACATTTCATAATATTAACTTCAATTCACCCAAGATAGTTATAACCAAATTTCTTTTTAAGATTCTTAAATATATCAAAACATATATTATAAAACAGCGTTTTTCAAAATATATATATGTTATTAGCAATTGGGACGTAGTGCAACTACAAAATAAAATGTTGAGTTTCGCTGTTCTAATCTACAATTTTCTTCACATTTTGACCCATTTACTGCATTTTCCACATGTGATTTTAAGATTTGAATCTATCAAATTATAGAAAGTATGCCACTTCTACAAGTCATTGCATCATTGTGCATCATTATCACCATCATTATCACCATAATAACAGTTATTAACAATTCCTGTTAATGTTAGGATTTTTCAACCTTAACAACCATCAAACTATGTTCATCAAATTAATGATTATGTTATTATAGAAACCACAACAATTATTCTTTTATTGCAAGAAATTTTCATCTAAAATTTTGACAAATCTTAAGAAGTATATTAAAAAAAAACTTTTTTATTCTTATATAAGCTGTAATCAGTTAATTATACCTCAATGAGTATATTTATATAGTATTGAAGTAATTAATTAATTGGAAGAAGTGAATGAATTGCTTCGATGTTTTAATAAAGAAAAAGCAAAGTGAAAGGATATAAAAGCGAATACATTAACACCAACTGTTATAGCAACAACTTGTATAAATCAAACTTTTTGAAACTGCAGTAATTGCACAACTGCGTACTTTCTGCAATTACATAAATTTGTGAATGATGAATAGGTACTTTTTTATATATAAAATAATCTTCATGTACAGAAAACATCACATAACAATCAAATATTACATGAAAAGTAATCAGAATAAGAGAACGTACTTAAGTCTTATTTGCCCTTAACTTCTCTTAAGATCAATTCCATGTAAACCTTGTAATCCGGATCCATTTGGATACTCTTATAGTTTTGAGATGGAATTACATAGCCACTCTACTGGATCGAACTACCCCACATCTATAGCCTGCAGTCAATCATCATGGTCTGTCTAGAATACTTCTGTTTTTAGCTTACCACTTAACTCACCACAAGTTTAAATTACAATAACACTTTATATTTCCACTTCTAATGTAAATATTGAGATTAAATCATTTTAAATGTAATTTACCAGAAGAAAACAAGAACAAAGTTACCCATAATTCAAACTTAAATAAATTAAAATACTTTACAAATAATTAGATGAAACGTAGCAAATTCAAAATACATATGAAATTATACGAACTGAGAAGTATTTCGTAGCGCCTTTATTAAAATGCACGGCTTTCAACCGCGTAGCATTATTTATTTGGTGCAATATTATTCCAACGCGAATGAAAAATGTAAAAGTCTCCCTCACCCAACTAGATAGGGGTGAGTTCAGCAAAGCTATACACATTAAAAATGTATTCCGTTCGTTGCGCTTTCTTCATCCTTGAATCTCCCAACAACGAAAAAAAAAACTGCGTTATTCACCAAGTTCCAAACACAAACCATCAACAATCAGATTTCCATTTACCTTTACTTCGGTTTTCTTTTATTCACTTAAAAAAAGCAAGTCATTATCCTTAGAGGGAGACAAGGATGTGGAAAAAAAATGAAGAAGACTGCATGTGATGGAACGTGATGGGGGAGGGGGTTAGAAAGAGATGGCTTGCGGGAGGACGCATTATTATTCCCTAATGGGATTTAGTCCTTAAGCTTCCTGGTTTTATATTTTGCGCCTTAATAACGAACGGATTATGGTGTGCCATTGTTGCATTAATATTACAAGCCGCGCACGACCCGGCGCCGGACTTAATTAGTCCACGAAAAACAGGGAATGAAAAGGAAAGGAAAAGGATGGATGGATACGGAAGGAAGGCGTATATCCTGGAATGGGTGTCAAGGGAATGCACGGGAAAATCGATGTCGAGGAAATAAGAAATAACTGCTGACTGCTCATTCACTCGCTCGTCTATTCCCATCCAGTCAAACCAGGATTATTTGCTTTGCAGCCTAAGAACCTACGACTTGTTACATCAGAACTGTGTAAACATAGATCCCAAACAAAGAACTTTAGGTTTACCACAACATCCTCAGCTAAATGTAGAGTCAGTATCCGAATATTCTGGTATAGTTTGTAAATGATCACAAGATGGCGTAATAATTTTATTTAAATAAATCAATAATATGTACATAATATTCCTCTTTTATAATTATGTTAAATTAATAAGATGGCGTAACTATTTCAATGAAAAAAATATAGTGCGGGTAATCACGAATATTCCGCAATGTTTGAAACCGCACTAATTGAGCACTTTAAAAACTCATAAAATTAATCTGTACTATGTGTTGTATTGCTGTAGTTTATTTTCTAAATTAATTTGCATTTTTACTAATTACATCAATGAAATTTACGAGCAAAAAAAATGTGTTTCTAGATTAATTATAAATAGATTTGATGATGTTATAGTAAGTCACCAAAAAATTCCATTAAAAAATATGTTTACGCAAATAACCAATAAAAGTGTAAAAATACAGCCGGTACATATTAATCAAGTCGATCACATTTAACTGTCGAATATGTCGATTTTGTTGGGTATCATTGCCTCGTTAGTGTACCATTTCAATCAGTTTAGCGCCGAGTTAATGGTCCTACAATAATCGATGCTAAGGGTTTCAAGCATGTAAAGTGGCCTTTAACTTTACAAACAATTGTTTTACAATGAGGCATAGTAATCAGCAATTGTCAGCATGATTTGCTTCAAAGTCAAGGTAAAGTCTTCGATTCAAACAATTTAATTATGCAATAACTACAGATTATGTAAATAAGTAAATTTTAAAATAACAATAATTAATCAATGGATTAAACTAATTGTTTAAAAACGAACATATTTCTAATCACAATACTTTATGATTTTCATTGTGGAATATATGTTTATATTTTATTCAAATATTTTATTTTTACTCATCGAAAAGCATTATTAACCAAACAGTAAATTAGAAAATAGTCTTAGATTCACCTAATTTAATTCTGTAATAAGTAGAAAGTTTATACCCCAAAATATATTTATTTATGATGACGTTACCCCCTTTGTTTTGAATAGGATAGAATTATAGAGCAATCGTGGATACAAACTTGGGGGAATAATTGATTTCTCTGCTTTGTTTTATGTCAATTACAGTGGTAAATCATTAATTGCAAAGGCAGCAATTTATTGACTGCCTCTTATAAAATTTTGAAAGCCATTGCAAATTTACAATATTCATTATTTTCCCCATTTGTGACACTTTACTCTGACCCATTGATATTTGTAATGCCTCCTCATGTACAAATTGTAAAGCCTTTGCAAATTTACAATATTTTAATTGGTAAACGTCCTCATTACCCCCAAGAACTTAATTTTTATCCCTAGTTTGGGTAATTTACCACTGATTTAAACATATCATTTTTCAAATTCATTGATAATATACAAATGTAATATATTTATATAATAAAATAGTTTTATTCTTACAATCGAATTCTCTGCTGTGTTTTTATGTACAATAAAGTGGAAAATTCTTGTTTGCAAAGGTTGAACCAAAGGCAGTAATTTTTTGACTACCTCCTATATAATTTTGAAAGGCTTTGCAAATTTACAATATTTTAATTGGTAAACGTCCTCATTACTCCCAAGAACTTCATTTTTATCCCTAGTTTGGGTAATTTACCCCTGATTTAAACATTTCATTTTTCAAATTCTTTGACAATATACAAATGTAATCTATTTATATAATAAAATAATCCTATTCTTTTGTGATTTATTTGCTTCGTTGATGATTATAAAGCAATAAAAGAACACGCAACAACAATTCAGTTCTATTCCAATGTTAATTTAACTAATCAAAATACACTATTCATAAAACAGTAAATATAGCAAATGGACTTTTGCACTTCAGTGAGTATTAGCAATTTTTTTTCACTCTCCTTATATTATTTTATTCAAAGTATTATTGAAATTTTACGCGACACGAAAACCGCATCAGTTTATTATAGTAACTTACCATAACATAGTGACGTTGCATTTCAGTCTTCTCGCCAGCTAATTTTTCACATTCTAATTTTAAGCTGAAAAAAATAAACAACAGAAAATTAATTTTAAAATATATAAAATAATTTACAAAAAAAAAAAACAAATAGAGAAAAAAAAATTGGATATCATATAGGAAAATCAGGATAAATTAAACTATTTAGAAGACTTACGAAGCCAACTTTTACTTTTTTCAATTGAAATTATAAACGTTTTATATTTTATTGATTCAAAATTGTTAATCAAAATTCAAACAGATTTTTATAATTAATGTAAACTTTCTCAATAAATTTTCAATTAATTGTCAATAATTAATCAAGTCACTTTGGTATTGACAATTAACAGTTGTCAATTATAAATACAGCAATACCTTATATAGTGCGACTTCTTACAGTGCGGATTCAGTATATTCCGGTTAATAAAATAAAATATAATTAAGTAAATTTTTGTGTTATTTATTTTCATCCAGTTTTAAATAACTTGACTAGTTCGGTTTCAAATAGTCCGGGGTATTGGCGGAACCGCACTATGCGAGGTATTGCTATAATTAAACTTAACTAACCGTTTGTTACCTGAACATATTAAAAGAAAAAAATTCTGTGAATTTATTTTAAAACACATTAAAATTAAGTTCCATATATATTTTTATTAAATTTCAGCAATATTTTCAATAAAAATAATATGTGGTACTTTTTGGTAAAGTCAGGAAATTTTAAGTATAAATCGAATAATAAGTGAATTATAGTGATTTAGATTACAAAAACGAATCAATATTATTTTATAAACTTATTTCATGGTATTCTGCTTATAATTTTTCGTTACAACATAAAAAATAACTTATACAGAAGTGACAAGTATTACTTGAATGTAGGTTTATATTCACTTGACGATTCCAATTGCAAAACAAATCGGTTTTGTATATAATATAAAGATTACATTAAAGTACCAAGAAGTATAATTTAGGTCAGTTTCACGTCTCTTTTTAATTGAAATAGTGACATAAATGTGCCGGTACTTATGAGTACCGTCAGACGACAAAGGGTTAATAGATGCAAGATATTAAGAACTTAATGTTAAATAAAAACTGTCTTCATAACATAATATTTGAATTTAAAATTGATACTGGTTTTATAATCATGATAATAGATTGTGCTCCAAAATAAACAGTTTCAAACAAAACAAAACAAAAACAGTCAATAATTTAATCTGGGAATGTCAAAAAGCGCTAAAAATAAGTGCAATTACAAATAAAGTACTTTACACAAAAAAGTAAAAACAACCCTCTTGGTATTAAATTACAATTGATGCAATTTACATGATACAGCGCAATAACAAAATTTACACACAGCACTCAATTTTTTTTTATTATTATTATTTTGAAGCCGAGTACACTTGAATTATTTTAATTGATACCGAATATAAATAAATGAACATTGCCATAATAATAACAACGTCAAAAAAAAACAAAAACACATAAATTTTATTTCACCCTTTTCATAATTTCCCTCCCTTAATTTCAGTTAAAATAAATGTGATGTTTAAATAAATATAATAATTGTTGAATGAAGAATATGCAGAATATTTGAATATATTATTAACATTAAAAATGTTCACTCACGTCCTTATGTAAATGCGGTTCTTGAGAACTGAAAACCGGGGCGGTCGGACTAATTTGCCTTTAATTTCGATCCTGCCGCCGTCGACATGTCTACATCGGGGAGGCGGCCGTAAATCAACCGAGCAAAAAATATATATATAGTACATTGCGCAACGAGAAATGATTTACATAAAATTCCGATTATTTATGACGTTTATTTTCACGATTTGATAACGCGTGGTAAACAATTGAAGAGATTCAAATTGTAACGGTTTTTAATATTGTTGTTGCTTTAGTTACGTCAATTAAAATAATTTTGAAATTAGACAATTTTCTTCTGGGTTTTAGTTTTTACGTTTGTCAAATTATAGTTGCAAAAACCAATCAAGAAACATTAATTTTCAATCAGAAAATGATATGAAAAACGCCCAACAAAAAAATCGTGCCTTTGTCGGGTCATCTAATATTATTAAGTAGTATATTATCAATATATATTGGATTATGGCATTTTTTAAGAATTTAACGTTTAAATTTAACTACAATATTGATTTCATCTTAAATTATTGTCAACACTTAGTAAATTAATGTTTGTTTATCATTTTTAGTGAAATTTCATATTATTATTGTCAACTTAAAATAAAATGTTTATTACAATAAATTTCAAATAAAAAAAAGAAATATAAGCGTTTTTATTGTGGTTGTTAATTTAGTTACGTTAACTAAACAATTTTTTGATACTAATTCATTTACTAAATCAGATATTCTACAGAGAATTAGATTTTTCTTCTGCCAATTTGTAATTGCAAAAATCAATAAAAAAAATCACATTAATTTTCACTCAGAAAATTATATTATAGCACCGGGTCACCTGATATTATTACATAATTAAGTAGTATATAGATTGACAAGAGTTTTAATCCTTTAGATTTAACTGCGATATTAATTGGAACTTAAATTATAGTGAAGACTTAATTAATTTTATATAATTAATGTCCACTTGAAATCAAATGTTTATTACAATAAATTTCAAATAGAAAAAGGAAATATAAGAGGTTTTATTGTGACTGTTACTTTAGTTACGTCAATTAAATGAATATTGAAATTATTTTCGGGCTCTTAATTTTTTAGATTTAATTGCAAAAATCAATCAAAAACATCAGAAAATGGCAACAAAAGCGCGCAATAACAAAATCGCACTTTTGTCGTGTCACCTGATATTATTACATAATTAAGTAGTATAGATTATCAATATATAACCTTATTGACATTGTATTATTGCATTTTTGAAGAGTTTCAATTTTAAATTATAGTCAAAACTTAATTAATTATTATTAAAATATTAATAATTCTTTATCAGTTTCTAGGAAAATTTACATAATTAATGTCAAACAAAAATAAAATGTTTATTAAAACAAATTTCAAATAGAAAAAAGAAACATAAGAGTTTTTATTGTTGCTGTTACTTTTGTTAAGTGAATTAAATAAATATTGAAATTATTGACAATACAAATTCATTTAGTAAATCAGATGTTCTATATGGAATTATTTTCGGATTTTTAAATTTTAGATTTTTCTGTCAAATTATAAAAATCAATCAAAAAATTCACATTAAGTTTTACTCAGAAAATGGTAACAACAGCGCGTAATAAGAAAATCGCGCTTTTATTGTGTCACATCATATTATTACATAATTAAGTAGTAATATTCGATATTGGATTATTGCATTTTTGAAGTTTCAATCCTTAATTAGTTAGATCTTAATTAGTAATCAAAACATAATTATTATTTATAATTTTTAAGGAAATATGTCAACTTAATCCTTTGTTGTCTATAGGTACTTATAAGTACCGGCACATTTATGTCATTATTTAAATTATAAAGAGACGAGAAACAGACCTAAATACTTGTTGGTACTTTGATGTAATCCTTAAACTATATACAAAATTTATTTGTTTTTCAATTGGAAAAACCAAGTGAGTATAAACCTACAATAATGTAATACTTGCGTTATTTTTTATGCTGTAACGAAAAGATAAATTGTATAGCGAAATACCATGAAATAAGTTTATAAAATAATATTGTTACTAAATATATATACATATGAAAATTGATTCGTTGTGTAATCTAAATCATTATGATCGCTTATTATACGATTTAAGCTTAAAATTGCCTGACTTTACCAAAATGTACTTAATAAAAATTTATAGGCAACTTAATTTTAATGTTTTTTAAAAGAAATCCAAAGAAAAGTATTATAGGTAACAAAGGGTTAAAAAAATCTTTATTACAATAAATTTATATTAAAAAATCTTTAACAAAATAATATATAATTAATATTATTATTTTTTTATTAAATTTTCTTAATGTTTTAATAAATGAATATATTTGTGAATAAAAATAATGCTACAAAATAATGAACAGAACATATTTTTTGTGTCGAGTTAAAGGTTAAATGAAATAGAACGAAAAGGATAAAATAAAATGGAAATTGAGGTGGGAGAGTGTGGAAGAAAATAAAGTGGAAGTGAAATAAGAGGGAATTACTCACGAGTGATATTGTGCCTGGAGGAAATTAAATTCTTCCTTTATCCTTTCCAGCGTGTCCGCAATCGTGAATTTTATTTGACCACCCTGAGGTGGTGGACCCTGCAAAAAAAAAAAATAAGAAAATTTAGTACGTGACAATAAATGCAAAATAAAAAAAAATATATAAATATAAGTTTGTTGTTTTTTAATTAAGTGTGCATTAAGTATTTAATAAAGCATAGGAAAGTTTTTTTTTATATAAAAATTATAAAATAAATTTATTGTATTTTTTTTTATAGAAATTATAAAATAGTTTTATTGAAAGAAAAATAAATTTATTATTACAATTTGACAAATATTGAAATAATTTCAAAGCTGTAGCATAGGACTAACATGTTTATATAAATTATTAAATATTTATTCAAAATATACATAAATTTATACAAAATTATATTTAATAATAAAATTATAAATTAAAATTTACTATTCAATAGATAAACATATTTTAAATAATTTATATATATTAAAAACAAATTTATTATTATCAAATTAACTTTCACAGAAAAATATTGAAATTATTTAACAATTATGGTAAATTGTAATTATATACAGTAGAACCTGTTTTTGTGCGGTTCTTTTTTATGTGATTTTTTTTATGCGATTGATGAAATCCAACCAATTCCAACGGCGTTGGCACCATTGTAATGTTTTCTACCAGTGTACATATGTACAGCCTGCTCAAATGATTGTGTTAGGTGATTTTGAACCAAATCATTACAAGACGATGCGCGTTTTGGATTAACACGAGTAGCAGTGAATTATGTATTTGCATTTTTGATAATTTATCCATATGTACAATGAGAAATTAAATGTTTTTTTTTAATGTTTCCATGTGTAATTTAATTATTTATTTTGTTTGGATGCACTTTCTCATGTATTTCGCAAACCTTTGACGTATTTTTTTATGCGGTTGATAGGGACCGCATAAAAAAAATACGTTTCTGCATATTACATTGTTATATGTAAGAATTTATGAAAATTTCGAATATTTTTTGTGCGATTTTTTTATGCGGTATATTTATATATAAAAAAAGATATAATTATATAATAAAACCAAATAAAACAGATGTCGTTTTTTCTGTCTTCTTCTTCTTTTGTTAAAAGTAAAATTATTTCCTGACAAATTTATTATTGCAAAATTAACTTGAATAGAAAAATATTGAAATTATTTAAGAAATATGGAAAATTGTAATTATAAAATATAAATGAAACTTTATATAATTATATAATCATATGATAATCATAATAAAAAAAATAACTGTAATATTATTATTCATATTTGCATATGAAATTCGAATAAATATGTAAATAATTTGCAAAATTCAATAGTTTATCTGTAATTACAGATTATGTCTTCTTTTTCTTGTTGCTAAATGTCAAAATTATTTCGTGACAACGTTCGTAGAAAGGTAAATAATAATCCCCGAAATACGTTTTCGATGTATTCATGTATGTTTTTCCGACTAGGGCAGTCAATTAATTCACGGAACTACGAAAACATTTTGCGTATTATTTTCCATTAACGGAACAACAGTAAAATATAAAACGGACAATTCAAATATTTATTATACGCACATACATTCATGTATGCATACATACATATATAAATAAATGTGTGTATGCGTGTGTGGGTGTTTGTCTCCATGTGAGTGTGTGTGTGTTTTGTTTTTATTTTGACCGTTAGCTGTCTCCCTCTGCCTCCCTGGTCATATATAAATTTAATCTAGTATGCGCATTTTGAATCGTGCTTAGAGTGTTTTTGTCGCCATCATGAAAACACGATAAATTGATTTTAAAACATACATACGTTACGTGTAAATTAAATTGCATTTTACATACATAAATCGGAGAGCGCAGCCGTTTGTATTTATATATATGTGTCGGTGTGTGTCAATATGTGTATGTATGTAGTTTTACGTGAGTGAGTGTGGAACTCTGGATGTAGGTGAATAATTTATTATTCATAAATTGAAATTATTTATTGGTGTATCTGCATTAATTTGTGTTCGACTCAGTATATACAAAAAGAAACAAGTTGATTGTTTTCAGAAGATGTATACATTATGTTTTTTGATTACACTTTTAGATAATTGGATGTTTAACATATGAAAAATATGACAAAATTAATAACATTATTATTAGTTGAATAAATGTAATAATTTAATTCATCAAAATTTTATAGTTAAAATTTATTAACAACATATGTTAGAGCGCAATAATGTACACTATGAATTTATCGAGAAAGCTTAGCTCGGAGAAGTTAAGGCTTACTTAGAGAGTCTTAAGTTACCATCGACATGAATAGTTTAAGTAATATAGTGTAAACAGTGTATGTAAGCTGTAGTTAAAAACGATTTCTTCATTCATCCGCACAACTTGCTCCATCGTCCAAATCAACATACAGTGAAACCTCGCTTAACGAACACCTCACATAACGAGCATTTCTCTTAACGAACAAAAATGACTCGCTTAACGAGCGACGTTTCGCATAACGAGTGACGATGAGAAGAGAAGTCCCGGATTGCGCGCCTGCTACATCATTTTTAAAACTTGTGTACATATATTATGTGTATTTTTGAATATGTTTCACTATATGAGTAAAAATCTGGAAATTTTGTAAGGGATTAAACTCGTTAAGCAAGGTTCCACTGTATTTTTAAGCTTTGTAGCATCAATATTTATTAAGATATTATTTTATAATTAAGATTATTTTCAATCATTTTCAGTTTCTATCAAATAGTAAACATTGTAATGATTAAATATTTAATAGTAATTGTAAATAATTTCTTGTATATGCAGATTTGAAATTTGCATATTTCAATTAAAATAAACGTGACATAAAATGTGTTCGTTGGATTAAAAAAGCAATAAAAAATAAGAATCGATTATTATTTTTAAAAACACTTGTCAATCTATCCATATTTGAGAACGAAAAGAGTACGTTTCACATACTCGTTAAAAGAGTAATAAAAATTAGACGATTGTTGTTTTCATTAAAAAATATTGAAATTAAGTTTTCTATTCAAACAGAAAAAAATCTAATAAAAGAATGAACAAAATGAGGTTTAAATTTATATATATTATATATAGGATAAGATTTTTAAGTTTAAATAGAAATTTTAAATAATTACGTCTTTTTTAAGTTGAAAATTTTGCATCATAACATATTAATTGATACATGAATCTATTACAATATATCGTATTTTTCGGACTATAAGACGCATCTTCTTACATAGAAAAATGGACTCAAATTTTGGTCAGATTGTAACATTAAAATACTTTTTTCAATAAATCGTCTCTAAATTTGAAAATAAAACTAAAACGTCTTTCATATAACGTGAGTTATAAACTAAATGTCATCTATTATGCAAAACAATATGAAAACAGAGCAGCAGAAAGACATTTTGGTCCACCATCAACAGAGAAAATGGATCGAGAATGGAGAAAACAAGAGGAACTGTTAAGTAAAGACAAGAAAACATTCCGTTCGCACTCAGAAAATATGGACTCAAATTGCGTCTTATGGTCCAAAGGTAACATTAAAATATTTTTTCAATAAATCGTCTCTACATTTGAGGTGCGTCTTATAAGTTTATAAGATTACAAAAGAATAAGATTTTTAAGTTTAAATAGAAATTTTAAATAACTACGTTATTTTTAAGTTGGAAACAACCCAGCTAAATGTAAAGGGTTTTCCAGAAAGAAGCTCATTATGAGAAGAAGTTGAAAACTTTGCATTACAAAATATTAAATTTGTATTAATTGATACATGAATCCATTACAACTTAGTACTTATTACTTAAGTTTATAAGATTTCTTTATATAAATATAGTAAATAGCATTTTTATAACTAAAATAATTCATATTCATTCAATAATTTCAATACAAAGTTGAAACGCCATCTGTTGTCATTACAGATAGACTTTCAAACCTTTAATTTTAATTAAAAACAATTATATTTTCAATTATTGTCGTATTATATTTTTGTGATTACAATGTTTGTAATATTAAAATTTAAAAGAAAGAAAAAATTAAATGAAAAATTATTGTTTTGATTATATCTCTAATTATTTGATATACTTAATGTATATCATTTAATGAATTTATTTACAACAAAATTAAAAATGAAATTATTAAAGTAAAAAAAATATTAGAAAGTTCAAAAAAAAAGTTACGATCCACAAATAAATCAAATGGATTTATGGATAGTGTGTTTTCATTGTATTTTCTTTTTCTGCATCAAAAGCGGAACAAAAAAAAAAAAAAATCAGATGATCAATTATGTATTGGAATATTTGGTCCACCTTCACGTTGTGTACAGATCAATAAACCTGGAGCGTGGATGGATGAACGACGATGAAAAATTGAGGAGTTGTTCGACCGTATTTTTGTTTTGTTCATTTTCTTCCCATCCGCGTGCGTTTGCACTTTTTCCGCTCTGTCCGCCTGTTTGTTTCTCTCGTGTCTCTCTATATATATTTTTTTTCAGGCTAAATATATAAAAAATTCAAACGATAGCAACGGAATCGATACAACAACCGCCAACCGGCAATCAATTATGTATAGGAGCGAATTGAAAATTGATGGGTTTTATTTTTCGTTTGCGCGATTTGCTCACTACTTTCAACAACAACAACAAAAAATCTAAAATGAACACACGACGAAAGTTCACATATTGTTCCAAAGATTTTTTTTGCTAAGCAATTTAGCAAGATTCAATAAAATTTATTTTTTTTTTATTGTTCAATTATTCAAAACGTGTCATACCTTATTTCAAAACTTATAAATGTTATATAAATTATTAGATAACTTTAATATTTGTTTTGTATTAAAATTAAGAAAGTTCAATTTTCCTTGAAAGCAGCAAATGTTTAGAAAGTTGAAAAGTTCTGTTTCATACATGTTTGAAAACTTTGATAACTTTCTAACATAAATATATGAAAACTTTAAATAGTTCTGAACTTTAATATTCTTAAGAAAAAAGATATATATATATATGTCAGAAACTTCAATAATTTTCATTACAAAATCTTTCAAATTGAAATAAACACTTTAAAGTG